GGGCTTCCTTGCGCTCCCAAGGGATCCTCCTATGTTTTCTCAGGGATCGCGACACGAATTATCGTGCCTCCCTAGACCGCCCATATTTTCCGTATCGAATCCTCCTGCCCAGTTTCCTTGGGCATCCCGCATTTTCTCAGGGATCGAGCTCTCTTGTCGAGCCTCTCTGGGCCTCCCACGTTTTCCCAGGGATCGAGCCTTCTGTGGAGCCTCCCGGGGCCTCCCACGTTTTGCCAGGGATCGAGTCCTCCTCTCGGGCCTCCCTGGGCCTCGCGCGTTTTCCCGGGGATCGAACCTCCTGGGACCCCCTGCGTTTTATGATGGATCGAGCCTTCTTGAGGTTCCCGCGTTTTCCCAGGGATCGCGCCCTCCTACAGATCCCCACGGGTCGAGTCCTTACATCGAGCCTCCTTGGAGGAGGAGGAGGAGGAGGAGGAGGAGGAGGAGGAGGAGGAGGAGGAGGAGGAGGAGGAGGAGGCGGAGGCGGAGGCGGAGGAGGAGGAGGAGGAGGAGGAGGAGGAGGAGGAGGAGGAGGAGGAGGAGGAGGAGGAGGAGGAGGAGGAGGAGGAGGAGGAGGAGGAGGAGGAGGCCTCCTCGGGCCTCCCGCGTTCTCTCGGGGATGGAGTCTTCCTGCAGACTCCTGCGTTTTGCAGCGGATCGAGCCTTCCTGGGCCGTTGCGCTTTCGCAGGGGCCGAGCCTCCTGCTGAGCCTCTCCTGGTGTCCTGCGCTCTCCCAGGGACCGACTCCTCCCATCGAGCCTCGCTCTCTCGGGGATCGAGTCTTTTGTCAAGGCTGGTCCTGGGCCTCCTGCGCTTTTCCTGGACCCGAGTCTCCAGAGGGAAAAACACGGACACAACTAATCGTCGACTCCCAGGATAGTATGGGAAAATATGGGACTTGGGGGGGAAGACGAAAATCCATAAAGTATTGAAAAATATAGGGAATTCTTGGATTTGTATGTATTTATTTGTGTGTCCCTGGGCTCCTTGAAGTTCTCCTCTCGAGCCTCCCTGGGCCTTCCACGTTTTCCCAGGGCTCGCGTCCTCCAACGGACACCGAGCCTCCGTGGGCCCCCGCGTCTCCTCCCGGGCACGGGGCCCTCCCTGCGGACTCCTGCGTCTTCTGCACTGGCTCCGGCCTCCCTGGGCCTGCTGCCTTCACCCAGCCGGGGGCGGCAAAGAGGGGGGTGATGACTAGGGGGGTGTAGATGTCATTGCGGGGGGCATGATATCTCCCCAGATTTAATGGCGCCTCTTCGTATTTCAAGACGTCCCTGCCCCCCCCCCGGTGCCGCGCACATGCCGCCGGCCACGATTTGGGCCTCCCCCCCTCTTGGACGCCCCCTCTTGGCCGCCCCGACCTAGGGATCGAGTGTCCAGCCGATGCTCCCTGGGCCCCCCGCGCTGTCCCAGGTGCTCGGGTCCTCCCATGGAGCTCCCCCCCTCCATTTCCCTAAGACCGAGTCCGCCCACGGACTCCCACGTTTCATAATGTATCGAGCCCGCCTCGGCCTGCCACGTTTTCCCAGGGATGGGGCTTTCCCAGGGATCGGGTCCTCCTATCGAGTCTTTTCAGGGATCGAGTCCTCTACCGAGCATCCCTGGGCCTCCACGTTTTCCCAGGGATCGAGTCCTCCTCTCGAGCCTTCCTGGGCCTTGTACGGTTTCCCAGGGATCGAGCCTCCTCCGCTTTCTCTGAGGTCCTACGCTCTCCCAGGAATCGAGTCCTCCTGTCGAGCCTCCCTAGGCCTCACACGTTTTGCCAGGGATCGATTCCTGCCGAACCTCCCTGAATCTTTCACGTTTTCCCATGGATCGAGCCTCCCACGCTTTCCCGGAGGTCCCACGCTTTTCCAGGGCTCGAGTCCTCCTGTCGAGCCTCCCTGGGCCTCCCACGTTCTCCCAGGGGTCGAGCCTCCTGCGAACTCCTGCGTCTCGCGCTGGGCCCTCCCGTTCGAGCCTGCCTGGGCCTGCCGCGTTTCCCCAGGGGTTCGGGTCCTCCCATCGAGCCTCGCTGGGTCTCCCACGTGCTCCCAGGGATCGAGTCCTCCGAGCCTCCTGTCGAGCCTCCCTGGGGGCTTCTGCGCCTCTCCTGGGGGGATCGAGTCCTCCCTCCCCCCTCCCCCCTGCCCCCTTCCCTCCTCCTGCTGCTCCTCCTGCTGCTGCTCCTCCTCCTCCTCCTCCTCTTCCAGTCCCTCTCCTTATACATCACCTCTACCTGTCGTACCGCGAGGCCAGTCAGAAGGGCGGGCTGGGCGTTCCGCCAAGGACTTCCTCACCATCTATGAGCCTGAAGCTTGCACGTCGGCAACAGTTTCATAGAAGGAGGGCGGACCGCTTCTGAGTTGTGACTCTCGCCTTGGCGCCGCGCGCGTCCGTCTTAAACATTTGCAAGAGTTTCGCGGATTGAAGGCGGGCCGATTTCAAGATGTGGCTCTCGCCTTAAAGCGCCGCGTACATCCGTCTCAATTATACCTGGCGAAGGACCCAACCATGTACAGTTGTGAGTAACGCAGTTGTGAGCATCGTCTTCGGTGGATCTTTCTATGTGGCCACGAACCGTGTGTGGTGTGTGTGTGTGTGTGTGTGTGCGTGTGTGTGTGCGTGTGTGTGTGTGTGTGTGTGTGCCGAAATGGGTGCCACGGACGCATGCGAACAGTGCCACTGTGACCTTCGGTGGGGCTTCCTATGGGGCCACGACATATGTGACGGGTGTGCCGAAATTGGTGGCGGGGACGCATGCGGACCCTGCAGCTGGGGCCTTGGCTAGAGCTCCTCATGGGGCCTCGAAACGTGTGAGAGGTGCGCCGAAATTGGTTGCAGGGACGCGTGCGAACGGTGCCACTGGGACCTTCGGCGGGGCACCCTGAGGGGCCACGAAATATGTGAGGGGTGGGCCGAGCTTGGAGTGGAACTGCATGCGGAACCTGCCACTGGGACCTTTGGTGGAGCACTGAGGGGCCACGAAGCGTGTGAGGTGTGCGCCGGCGTGGGGGTGGAATTGTATGCGGACCCTGCCACTGGGGCCTTCGGCGGAGCACCCTCTGGGGCCACGAAACGTCTGAGGGGTGCGCCGAAATAGAAGTCGAACTGCATGCGGACCCTGCCGCTGGGGCCTTCGGCGGAGCACCTTGTGAGGCCACGGAACGTGTTGGGGGTGTTCCAAACTGGACGTGAAATTGCATGCAGACCTTGCCACTGGGGCCTTCGGCGGAGCACCCTATGGAGCCACGAAACGTGTGAGGGGTACGTCGACATGGGGGTGGAACCGAATGCGGACCCTGCCGCTGGGGCCTTCGGCGGAGCACCCTCTGGGGCCACGAAATGTGTGAGGGGTGCGCCGAAATTGAAGTGGAACCGCATGCGGACCGTGTCACTGGGACCTTAGGCGGAGCACTCTATGGGACTACGAAGCGTGTGAGAGGTGCGCCTGAAATGGGGGTGGAACTGCATGTGCCCCCTGCGACTGGGGCCTTCAGTGTAACACACCATGGGGCCACGAAGCGTGTGAGGGGATGCGCTGAAATTCAAGTGGAACAGCAGACAGACCCCGACAGTGGGACCTTCTGTGGAGCACCCCATGGGGCCACGAAGTGTGTGAGGGGTGCGCCGACATGGGGGAGGAACTGCATGCGGACCCTGCCACTGGGACCTTCGGTGGAGCACTCTAGGGGGCCACGGAATGTGTGAGAGGTGCGTCGGAGTGGGGGTGGAACTGCATGCGGACCCTGCCACTTGCACCTTTGGCGGAGCACCTTATAGGGTCACGAAACGTGTGAGGAGTGCGCCGACATGGGGATGGTACTGCATGCAGACTCTGCCACCGGGGCCTTCGTCGGAGCACCCTGTGAGATATGAAACGTGTAAGGGGTGCGCCGACATTTGGGTGGAACTGCATGCGGACCCTGCCACTTGCACCTTTGGTGGAGCAACCTGCGATGCCACGAAGCGTGTGAGGGGTGCGCCGACATGGAGGTGGAACTGCATGCGCCCATATGATGCCGATGAAGACGTGCGGAGGGCAGAGGCAAGGGATGGGAGGAGGGAGGAGGGGAAGGAGGAGTAGGAGGAGGAGGAGAAGGAGGAGGAGGAGGAGGAGGAGAGGGACGCGGGGCGCTGTCTCTTCAAAACGAGAACCCAACACCACAGGATGGTTGGGACAAATGGCAAGACTTTCGCGGATTGACGGCGGCGTGTGTGTGTATATATATATATAAGTAACTATTATCAACATGTGGCTTTGCCTTAGCGCCCCGCACATTCGTTTCAAACATTGTACAAGAGTGCCACGGGTCCCCATGATCAATATGTACCAGCAGTGGTATTTTGGAGCGGTTCAGGACTGTCAGGGCGCAACGTTGTCGTTGATTTGCGGTGTTGAAGTCCCAGGAATGGTGTTCTGGCACGATTCAGGATTTTCAAGACGCAACAGTCAGGTTGATTCGTGACGTTGAGGTTCCGAGAATGATGTTTGGGCTCGCTTCAAGATCTTTGCACGATTGCCTCCCAACGGGGCACTTCCCTCAGAGGAAATTGAACATTTGTAGGGACCTGTGAAGAGGGAGCTTGGAGGGAAGGTTTATTCCAACATCGTTGATGAGTCTTGGGTTTACACTGGTCCATCCCCCTCCTCTCGTTGTCGTCCTCCTCCTCCTCCTCGGCTCCCTCCTCCTGCTGCTCCCTCCCCCTGTCTCATTCCTCTTCGTCCTCATCCTCGGCTCAGCTCCCCCTCCCCCTCCCCCTCCCCCTCCTCCTCCTCCTCCTCCTCCTCCTTCCCCTCCTCCTCCTCCTCCTCCTCCTCCTCCTCCTCCTCCTCCTCCTCCTCCTCCCCTCCTCCTCCCCCTCCTCCTCCTCCTCCTCCTCCTCCTCTCCTCCTCCGCCTCCTCCTCCTCCTCCTCCTCATCCTCCTCCTCCGCCTCCTCCTCCTCCTCCTCCTCCTCCTCCTCCTCCCCCTTCCTCCTCCCCCTCCTCCTCCTCCTCCCCCAGCCTCCTCGGCTCAGGTGCTACGGCGACGGCGCCCGGCTGGTGCTGATCGCCGCTCCCGAGCTCCAGTGCGCCGGCGCTTCGTCCGCGGGCGAGGAGGGGCGAATCCCTGCCCTCCTCTCCCTCCCTCCCCCCCCCTCCCTCCCTGCCACCCTCCTCCCCTCCCTCCCCCCTCCCTTCCCCTCCCTCCTCCTCCCCTCCTCTGGGCGCCTCCGGGCGGCGCGGTGCGCCCGCGCTGGGCGCGCCGTGGCCATGGAGGGCGGCGACGGCTCCCGGGCCCCGGCAGCCTCCTCCCCGCGGGCGCCGGGGTTCTTGCCGCTCCCTGCGCCCGAGTGGCCCGCCCTCGGGCTCTTTCCCCCCTCTGCCTGCCGAGCCCCATCGCCCGCCCCAATTAGCGGCCCCTCCAGAGGCCGCCCAGGCCTCGCGCCCAATACCGCCAGGCGCGTGCCCAGCTGGGGCTGGCGGCCCGCGCCCGCCCTTGTCAGCGGGTCGCTCGTGGGTGGCTCCTCGCCCCCTGGCGCCAGGCCACCCCCCTTGCCCTTCGCCCTGCGCGGGTCGCACGGGGCCCCCTTGGCGCTCTGCCCTCGTCTCTGATCTCGGGGTCTCAGGGGCGTCCGAAGAGTTTCACCGCCGTGTCTGCTCTTCCGCGGCGCCCCGCCCGGCGGCCTTCGCTCGGCGCGAGGCGCCGCTTGGGCTCCTCATTTGCCGCGTGGCTGTCGCGGGCCATCTCTTTCGATTGCCCGCCTGCCCTCTGCTGCCCCTCCGCCTCGGCCTTCCGGCCCTGCGGCCCGTGGCCGGCGGCGCCCCTCCCGGCCTGGGGTCGGCTGACCTCCTGGTCACCCCCCACCGTGCGGGCCCCTCCCCGGCGGCCCCCAATCGGAGTCCTCCTGCTCGCCGAACTTGCGACAATTAGTCGCCTCCCGTCCGCCTCTGGCGCGACTCCCCCCTGCGGGCGCCGGCGCTCTTGCTGGCTCCCTGCGCCCAGGAGGCCCGCCCTCGGGTTCTTTCCCCCCGCTGCCTGCCGGGTATCATCGCCCGCCCTCCCCGTGGCCCCTCCAGAGGCCGCCCCGGCCTCGTGCCCCGTGCCGCCAGGCGCGCGCCCAGCTGGGGCTGACGGCTCGCGCCCGGCCTCCCAGTGCGCCCTGACCGCTTGTGGCCCTTCGCTTCCTGGCGCCGGGCCCCCCCCCGTGTCCCTCGCCCTGCGTGGGTCGCTCGGGGCCCCCCCTGGAATTCTGCCCCCGTCTCTGACTCGTATTCTCTGGGGCGTCCGAGGCGTTTCATTGCCGTGGCCTTCTCCCCCGCGGCGCCCCGCCCGGCGGCCTTTGCCCTGCTCAAGGCGCCGCCTGGGCTCCCCCTTGTCGCGTGGCTGGCGCGGACTTCCCTCTCGGTTCTCCGCTCCGCCTCGGCCTTCCGGCCCTGCGGCCTGCGGCCCGCGGCGCCCTTCCCCGGCCTGGGGTCGGCTGACCTCTCGGTCGCCCCCGCGCGGGTTCCTCCCCGACGGTCCCCTAGCGGGGTCCTCATGCCAGCGGTGCGCGTGCGCCCGCCTGCACCCACCTGGCCGGCATGCAGTCTCGGCGCCTGTCCTTGACGGTGTCTGGCGATCCGGACTCTGGTCCGTTGAGCGCCTGCTTGGCGTTGGTCGATGTCTGCCGGTGCGTGCGCCACGGCCGCCACTTGCATCAGCGGTGCCATTGGTCCTGGCGCTGGAGTTCGCGGTGTGTTCTGCCGGTGGTCTCCACCCTCTGCACGTTCGAGGTGTCGTTCAACCTTTTGAATTCCTGCCATTTTGGCGATGCAGCTCGCCTAGAAGTTCTTCCCGGTCTGTGGCGCCCTCCTCTGGGCGACAGCGAGGCCCGCCTCCTGCTTGTTCCTCCCCCCGCCGTCCTCCCCTCTTGTCTTTCTTTTCCTCTCCCGTTGCGCGTAATTTAGGCCGCCGCAGTCGCGATCAAAAAGTATCCCCACCAGCCCATCCCCAAACCACAGTTTTTGCGAAGCATACCGACTGTCGTGATTTTCGCGCGTACCTCTTCCTGCCCTCGCCTATCTCCTCTTGTTACTTCTAATTCCTACTTGCTTATTCCTCCTTGTGGGAGGAGTGGGGCGAGGACGGGGCGGAGGAGGAGGAGAAAGAGAAGACGGCGGGATGAGAGAGGAAAAGAGCGACGATGACGACGATGACGACGTTGGCGATGACCACGACAATGACGACGCACCCAACGACGACGCTGAAGACGACGACCACGAATACACAACGCCGATCACGACGACGAAGGAGGAGGAATACATAAGGCGAACAGAAAAGCCTTAAGCCTTTTGAGTGAGTCTCAGAGTCTCCTCTGGTTCCTCTTGGACGAGCAAAGGAAGAGGATGATGAGGAGGAGTAGCAGGATGAGCAGGAGGCGGAAACGGAGGCGGAGGAGGAGGCGGGGGAGAGTGAGGAGGAAGGAGGGAGGAGGAGGCTGAGGCGGGGGAGGAGGAGGAGGAGGGGAGGAGGAGGAGGAGGAGGAGGAGGAGGAGGAGGAGGAGGAGGCTGATACGGAGGAGGAGGAGGGAGGAGGAGGAGGAGAGGAGAGAGAAGGAGGAGGAGGAGGAGGAGGAGGAGGAGGAGGAGGAGGAGGAATAGGAGGAGGAGGAGGAGGAGGAGGAACAAATGACGATCAGAAGAGCCTCTTCGGATGTCTCTTGTTTTTTGAGGCCTCTCGAAGTGTCTGGGGGACATCATGGGTGCCTCGAAAATCCGCTTGAAGCCTCTGGGGGGGCCTCTTGGGAGCCTCTTGGAAACCTCTTGGGCGCCACTTGGGGCCGTCTGGGCACCTCCTGGGGCCCTCATGGGGCGCCCTTGGGAGCCTTGGGGACGCTCTTGAAACCATCTTGGAGGACATCGATCAAACAGGAGGGGTTCCCTAATTAGCGCTGCCCCTCGGGAACCCCCAAAATGGTCTCTTGGGGCGCTTTTGGGGCGCTCTTGGAGCGCTCATCGGCGCTCTTGGGGCCGTCTTTGGGCTCTCTTGGGCCTCTCTTGGGGCCCTCTTGGGCCATCTTGGAGCCATCTTGAGGCCTCGGAAGGCAGTCGAAAACGAAGGGGCGACGATGCACACATTATTGCCTGTCCTCCGGTTTTTGAAGAATTTTGGCTCCTCCTTGACGGTCTCGGAAGCCCCTCGGAGCCGTCTTGGAGCGGTATTGGGGCCTTTTGGAGCATCTTGGGGGCCATCTTGAGGCATCTTAGGCTATCTTAAGCCATCTTGGAGCTCATCTTGGGCTCTCCAAGGCGCTCTTGGAGCAGCCTTGGGCCATTCTGACCGCTCCAATTACGAACGACCCCCCCGTCCAGGTCCAGGGGAGGGGGTGGGGGGAGAGGTCAAGAGTCTCCCTCCCCACCCGCAAGCCGTCACGCTCACTCCCGCCCGCCCTCTCAACACATACGCAGCACCCGAACCTGGCCAGAGCCGCAGCATATGCAGCAGTCGTCTTTGGACGGGAAGGGGCGCATCCGCCGCCGCCGCCGCCCGCCGCCGCCGCTGCCGCGCCGCCGCCGCCGCCGCCGCCGCCGCCGCTGTCCGCCGCCGCCCGCTGCCGCCGCCGCCGCCGCTGCCGCCCCCGCTGCCGAATCGCTGCCGCCGCAGCCGCTGCCGCCGCAGTCGCTGCCACAGTCGCTGCCGCCACCGCCGCCGCCGCCGCCGCCGCCGCCGCCCCCGCAGCCGCGCCGCCCCCGCCGCCGCCACAGCCGCAGAAGTCGCAGCCGCTGCCCCCGCCGCAGCCGCCGCAGCCGCCGCCGCCGCCAAGTTTTTTGTTTCTTTGACAGGGGTGGTGGGGGGATACAGCATCGGGTTCGCTGCGCATGCTCCGAATTTGGAGGCAGAGTGTGTTTTGTATTGTTTTTTAAAAGGGATGTTGGGGGCAGAATGTGTTTTGTATTGTTTTTGCAACGGGGTGGTGGTGGGGGGGCCCGCATGGACTTGGGTTGGCTCCTCGTCGCCTGGGGGAGGGGGTGTACACCAATAGGGAACAGTGATAACCCCCTCCCCGAAGGGAAAGGATGGGCGTTTGAAGAGCTCCCTAGACCACCTACGCCCAGAGGGCTAGCCGAATTAAGAATTTGCAGCATTTTCACGGGTGGAGAGCGGCTGGTTTTCAGATTGTGATTTTCGCTTCAGCGCCGCGCGCATTCGTTCAAACAAAATATTCAAGGGTTTCATGGACGGAGGGCGGGTCGTTGTCAAACTGCGGCTCTCGCCTCATCGTCGTGCGCACTCGCTTCAAATATTTGCAGTATTTTCACACATGGATGGCGGGCTGTTTTCAAAATGTGGTTCCCGCCTCAGCGCCGCGTGCATTCATGTGTACTTCATTGCAGCAGTTTCACGGGTGGAGGGCGGGTGGTTTTCAGAATGTGGTTTTCGCCTCAGTGCCGCGCGCATTTTCTTGTTTGCTATATGCAAGAAGTTCACGGGTGGAGGGTGTGTGGTTTTCAAAAGGTGTTTTTTTTGCGTTCGCGCCGCGCGCATTATTTTTTGTGTGTTGTTGATTTTTGTTCGTTTTTTCCGATCGATTTATGTTTTGTTTATGTTGGATGATGCAATGTTTTCACGGATCGAGGGTGGGTCGTTTTCAACATGCGGCTCCCGCCTCGGCGCCGCGCACATTCGCTTTGACACATTGCAGCAGCTTCGCGGATGGACGGCGGGCTGTTTTCAAAGTGTGGTTTTCGCTCAGCGCCGCGCGCATTCGTTTGTACACATGCGGCGATCTCACGGATGGAGGGCGGGTGGTCTTTCACATGTGGTCTTCGCCCCAACGCCGCCGGAGTTTCACGGGTGGATGACGGATCCTTCTCAAAACGCGGCTGTCGCTTTAGCGCCGTGCACATTCGTCTTCAGGGCTTGCAGCATTTTCAAGGGTTCTCATGGTTAACGTCCCAGAAGTGGTGTTTATGAGGGCGCAGCTGTCACCTTGTTTCGCGGTGTTCAGGTCCCAGAACATGGCATGTTGATGCGATTCAGGATAGTCAAGACGCAGCAGTAACGGTAATTCGTGGCGTTGAAGTCCCAGGAATGGTGTTTTGGCACGGTTTAGAATTTCCAACGGGGCATCCCCTCCAATGACCTGAACCCTTGTAGGGGCCTATGATATGGGAGCTTGGAGGGAGTGTTGCGAAATCGTTGATAGGTCTTGGGTTTGCACTGGTCATCCTCCTCGTCCTCCTCGTCGCCCTCCTCCCTGGGTGCCCTTCCAGGCGCCCGCCTCTCTCCCGCGCGCGCGCGCAAAGCCCGCGCCACGCGAAACACAGGAGCGGCTCGCGCTCGGGGCCGATCCCGAGGGCGACCTCGCCGCCGCGGCCAGCGGGGCCGACGACTTCCCCACGGCCGACGACGAGGCTTTTCTCTCGGGGGGAGGGTGGGTGGGTGGGGGATGCTGGGGGTGGATGATGATGCTAATGCTCATGGCGACGGTGACGGTGGCTGTGATGATGATTATGATGATGTTGATGATGCTGCTGATAATGATGGCGATACTGATGATGGTTACCATGATCTTGACGATGATGGTGATGGTTATGATGGTGCTGCGCTGTCTGTGACTGGTGGTGATGGTGGTGGTGATGATGATGAAAACGGTGATAGTGGTTGTGATCCTGATGGTTATGGTAGTTGTGATGCTGCTGAGACTGAGGGTGGTAATGAAGAGGAAGAAGAAGCTGATGACGATGATGCTGATGATGACGATGACGATGGCGATGACGATGACGATGCTGATCTTGATGATGATGATGATGATGATGATGATGCTGATGATGATGATGATCATGATCACGATGATGCTGATGATGCTGATGATGATACTGCTGAAAAGGATGATCAGTATGATCATGATGATGTTGCTGCTGCTGATGATGGTATATATATGTATGATGATGCTGCTGATGATGATGCTGCTGCTGATGATGACGATGATGAGGAGGATGAGGATGAGGATGATGCTCATGATGATGATGATGATGATGCTGATGATGATGATGATGCTGATTCTGAGCATGATTATGGTGATGATGCTGCTGATGACGATGATGGTGATGATGACGATGCTGCTGTTGCTGCTGATGATGATGCTGTTGATGTCGATGCTGATGATGATGATGATGATGATGATGATGATGATGATGATGATGATGATGATGCTGGTGCTGGTTCTGGTGCTGCTGCTGCTGATGATGATGATGATTATGATGATGATGATGATGATGATGCTGATGATGATGATGATGATGATGATGATGATGATGATGATGATGATGATGATGATGATGATGATACTGATCATGCTGATTCTGATGATTATGCTGAGGCTGATGATGCTGCTGCTGCTGATGATGATGATGGTGATGATGTTGGTGATGGTTAGCTGATCCCCCCTGCTCGATGCTCCCTCCGGGCTCGCACCTTGTTTTTCGTAGCAGGGAAAGTCTTCCTCAAATCTGATTGTTGACCCCCGGTTTACAACAACAGCGGCTTCCGCCCGATATGTCCTCACAATCTAGTTTACAATCGTACTCTCGCGCGGGACGTGGTCAGACTTGATGCAGGCATTGTGCTCTGGCGTGGTACTTCCTCGCAATTTATTGCGGCGCCGTGCCCCCAAGACTCGAGGAATCACGCTCTCGCTTCAGATTTCCTCACGATTTACTTGGGAATCGTCCGAGACTTCCACGCGATTCATGCAGGACTCACGCTTCAGCAGCCCGCCTGCTCGACCCAGCCGCCTGGGCCCGCCCGCCTGACTTGCCAGTTAGGGTCCGCCCGCCCGACCCGACCGTCTGGTGCTGCCGCATGTACTCCTGCTCCTAACCCCCTCCTGCCAATCTCTTTTGTGTTCTATCCTTCTCCCTCCCCCTTGTCTCTTCCATCCTCCTTTAGGTTCCCCGTCGTAAGGACTGCGCCAGCTACACATGGCCGGCAAGGAAGATGTGCCCCCAAGGGGTGCGCACGATCGAAGACGAAGTGGGCGGGCCTCGAAGGTTTTGGACGTCACGTGTTGAATGGCACGCGAGCAGACAGGAGCGACAAAATTCAAAATGATGGTCAAGCAGTGGGGAAGCGTCCTTGCGCGCCTATAGGCCCACCAAACAATGCTCTTACGAACCTTTTGTGGTTTCTACGAAATGTTCTTAGAACATTTCCGGCTTCGACTGCCTTTGCCACATCGGGTTTATGTTCTAAGAACATTGTTTCTATCTTAGAACATTTCTTGGTTCGAACATTCTACTAGAACTCGTAGGCCTATAGGAAGGCTGGGACGGTCGGTCCTTGCTCCCTGCTCAATGTGGTTGTTGAGGTCTCATTTCTGAAGAATTATTATGGCTCATCCCCCCCACATGTGACCATTGTGTGTTTTTCAACTAAAGTGCTCCTCCCTGGGCTCGCACCCGGGTTTTGTGAGCACTAGTATAGAATTCTTGGTAAGAGACGCTTCAAGTAAATCATCCTTACGAAGGAAGGAAAACTTAGTACGTAATCCTTCCTAAGGGAACCTGAGCAACAAATTCATACTAAAGTTCTTTTAGTAAGGATTCTTTATGCATTGTCCCTTAGCACGGATTCTTTATTCAGGTTCCCTCAGCAAGGATTTCGTATTCGGGTTCCATGAGTCTGGATTTTTATTCAGGTTCTCTTAGTTACTAAGCCTCTTTTTGTGAGGGTTCTTTACATGTTCCCCTAGGCAGGATTCTTTAGTAAGTTTCTCTTAGTCGGGATTATATACTAAGCGTATCTTAGCAAGGATTCTTAACGAAGGCTCCCTCAGGAAGGATTTTCTGCTAAGGGTTCTCTAACAAGGATTATTCACTAACAGTGGTTCTTTTAGTAAGGACTCGCTACTAAGGGTTCCGTAGTAAGGATTTCCCACTAACGGTTTCTTAGTCAGGGTTCTTCGCTAAGGTTCCCTTAATCAGGATTTGTTTTAAGGACTCCTTAGTAGGGATTCCTTTCTACGGTTCCCTTCGTAAGGATTATTCGTAGGGATTCTTTTCTAAGCGTGCATTAGATGCCGAGCTTTCGTGCGGACGACATGGCCTGGGAGGTTTCGGCGCTTGCAGGCGCCTTAGCTTCGTCGACGGGACCTGGCAGCCGAATTAATTCCTGCTGGAGGCCGGTCCGATGCGATGCGGTGCTCTCCCACCCCTTCCCCAGAGGGGGCGTCAGAAACCCAGCGTACGTCCCGTGGGGAGCGACGGGGAAGCTTGCCAGATTTTGAAGGGGTTTAAATGCCGGCGTTTGTTGTTGTCGTCGTCGTCGTTGTTGTTGCTGTTGCTGTTGCTGTTGCTGTTGCTGTTGCTGTTGCTGTTGCTGTTGCTGTTGTTGAACATTATTAATTCTAAAGAATAATTATTGTTGGGACCCCTGGTGCACGGCCCCCCTGCGCCGCCCAGGCCGCAGCTACATTTTCATCATTTTCGTGAGGAAGCCTCAGGTAATACGATGTCATCAAGATCCGGTTGTTTTGTTGTAATCCGTTTTCCCTTGCAAAAAACACTATAAAATGACATTTCTTGTTCTAATATAATCAAATTTCAAGAATCCCTTGCAAAAAATAAGGTAAAGTGGACATTCGCGCGCGCAAGACGAAATCCTTCCAAAAGCTTAGTGTTCGGAGCGATTTTAACATAAAAACATCAAAAAACCAATGGTTTTTCAACAAAAAAATGTCAAAATCTCATCCCGCGCGCTCTTGCGGATTCGTAGGAAACCCAACACTTTTTAAACATTTCTGTCAAACGGGCTTTTGCGAGCAACTTTTTCGAACTTCTGCGACAACGGTTGCGCACCTGCCAGGGCCATCATCCCTGTCAAATAATACCATGCGGGACACATTCGTTTTTTCTTCGCGCGCGCACGCCGAAATCTCCAAAAACCATTGGGCTTCTTAAGAATTTTAGCACCGCGCATCATAAAATCACACGAATCGCACCGTAGGTCCTCGAAAAACACCTGCACGACTTTTCAAAATTTCTACCCGCGCGCGCTGTCCGAATCTGTGGGTGTACGAACGTAGGCTTAACAACTTCTGTGGGTGTGTACTCCACGCCAGTGTAGTAGCCACGGTCGTCCGCAGGCCACGAAGTGAAGTGTCCGAACGTCATAGGGCGGGAAGCTGGGTGTGGGTGGTGGCGAAGAGTCGTGTGGATATTTGGTAGAGCTTGCACTGCCCCCCCACAAAGTGGGGGTATTGGCTGGCGTCGCATGAAAACCCTGGCACTGGTGAGAACACTGAGCGTTCGGGTAAAGTGATTGTTGTTGTTGTTGTTGTTGTTGTTGTTGTTGTTGTTGTTGTTGTTGTTGTTGTTGTTGTTGTTGTTGTTGTTGTTGTTGAACATTATTTATTCTAAAGAATAATTATTGTTGGGCCCCCTGGTGCGCGCCCCCCCTGCGCCGCCTAGGCCGCAGCTACATTTTCATCATTTTCGTGAGGAAGCCTCAGAAAAGAGGGTGTGTACAGGATCCGGTTGTTTTGTTGTAATCCGCTTTCCCTTGCAAAAAACAATAGAAAATGACATTTCTTGTTCTAATATAATCAAATTTCAAGAATCCCTTGCAAAAAATAAGGTAAAGTGGACATTCGCGCGCGCAAGACGAAATCCTTCCAAAACCTTAGTGTTCGCAGCGATTTTAACATAAAAACATCAAAAAACCAATGGTTTTTCAACAAAAAATGTCAAAATCTCATCCCGCGCGCTCTTGCGGATTCGTAGGAAACCCAACACTTTTTAAACATTTCTGTCAAACGGGCTTTTGCGAGCAACTTTTTCGAACTTCTGCGACAACGGTTGCGCACCTGCCAGGGCCATCATCCCTGTCAAATAATACCATGCGGGACACATTCGTTTTTTCTTCGCGCGCGCACGCCGTCGTCGTCGGCCGCGGGGCCCTGAATAGTAGCCACGGTCGTCCGCATGCCACGAAGTGAAGTGTCCGAACGTCATAGGGCGGGAAGCTGGGTGTGGGTGGTGGCGAAGAGTCGTTTGGAAATTTGGTAGAGCTTGAACCGGCCCCCCCACAAAGTGGGGGTATTGCCCGCCTCCTATGAAAACCCTGGCACTGGTGAGAACGGAGTGTCCCCACGTGCTAGTAATTGTTGTTGTTGTTGTTGTTGTTGTTGTTGTTGTTGTTGTTGTTGTTGTTGTTGTTGTTGTTGTTGGCATCAACGCCTATGTGTGCCCCGTCCCCGGAGGGGGGGGCAGCAGGCCAGCAGGCCAGCACCCGCACCCACACCGACGCCGACGCCCACGCTCACGCCCGGGGGGGGGGCGGGCAGCAGGCCAGCGCTCGCACCCTCACCGACGCTTACGCCCGCGCCCACGCCCACGCCCACGCCCACGCCCAC